GCGCGGTAGAGCGTCGCGCGGCCGAGCGGCGCGGCGCAGGCCTAAGTCCAGCAGGTGAGCAGCCAGCGCGCGACAGCCCTCGGCCGGGTCGGTCAGAAGTCGCAGCAGGCGCGGCAGCAGCAGACGAGCCCAGGGGCCCTGGAAGGCAGCAGAATCCACGCCGGGCCGCACCGCCTCTTCCAGGGCGTGCTCCAGAGCCTCCAGCGCACGCCGCCGCCCCAGCTTACTCTCGGTCTCCAGCCCCGGCAGCAGGCGGCCTAGCGAGCGGCTCAGTTCCGCAGCCTCAGCCGCCTCGGCGAAGTCCGTAGCCGCCTCCGCTGGCGTCGCCATCTTGTGCGCGTTGCCTGTCTCCAAGGGAACCGGCGCTAGTACGATTGTGGCGGCACGCTTTACGGCAGGACTTCCGGCAGACTTGTCTGCTCGCGGCCGAGGGCGCTCCCCAGACGCGTGATGCGGGGGGAGGGGCAGGGAGTGATGGGCAGGGGGCGGAAAACGGGTTTAGGGGGCGGAGTAAGTGGCAGGAGGCGGAGAGAGGGGGCGAAGAGAAAGTGAAATTGGCTGCTTGCAGGGGGAGAGGTTGGGCCCCTCGGGGGCAGGGCAGGGGGCAGCAGGCTTGGCGAGAGCCTCGGGAGGAGGGGCGAAGGGTGAGGCGTTGGGGGTAAGGGGTAGTATGCGGAACGAGGTAGGCGGGACGCGGGCCTTTTGGGCAAGGGGGTGGAGTAAAGAGTGGGGAATAAGCGATAATGGGGAGGGTAAGAGCCGAGTAGGCGGAGCGTAGGCTTTGGGGGCGTTGCAGGAGGTGGCAGGCGGAGCGCGGGCCTCTGTGGGCGGGGCGAAGGGGAAGAGAGACTTAAGGGAATGGGGCGGGGCAAGGGGTAGTGGGGAGGGTAAGGGGAAGGTGGGCGGGGCATGGGCCGCGCACCAGGGTCAGTAGGTGGGACGCCGGCTCGCGGGGGGGGGGGGGGGAGGACATGAACCTCGAGGGTGGGGGTGGGGTCTGAATAGGGTGAAGAGGAGGAATGAGGGACCTGAGACAAGGGCTGGTACGTGGGGCGCAGACTTTGGGGCGTGGTTAATGGCGGAGGGCGGGGCGAAGGGTGGGGCTGGCCTTTCTCTGAGTCTGGAACTTAACGCTAGTGGCTAAGTTTCCGCGTATCTGAACCTTCAGGTTCTTCTTTCCCCTTGGGTACTGCAGGTAATAGCGCATTTGTCCTAAGGCAGCGGAAGCTCAAGCTAAGCTTATTTTGAATGGCTTAGACGTGGGTGATCCTTACTGGGTTACTCAGGAGTTCTTGAGAAGGCAGGTGTGGGTCTGCTGCTTGGATCCTCCCCTCAGTTTAGACGTGTAGTAGCCTCGCTGGCTGGAGGGTTTTAGGACAGGTGTGGTATTGCCAGTGGGCCCCTGCTGGGCACTTCCTAATGCTGGTGTTGGGCCGAACTCAGTGCTGCATGCATGGCTTTCCCAGTAAGCAGAACGCGGGGTGGTTGCTTCCAGACCTGGGCAGCGAGGCACCTCACATCTGAGAACAGGCCCGTGACAGGGCTTTATAACAAATTTTGCCCGTCTGTTTGGTTGTTGACATAAGTTTTGTAGAAAATTAGTGTGAACAGGTTACCCTTATGTGTTTTGAATGTGGTGAGAAAGCTTAGGGGACCGTGTAAAATGGCTGGGGATAGCAAAAGAGTTGTAAGTGGTGGGGGGGTGTGACTGAGCAAAGGCCCTGTGTTAGGTGTTGTGGACTGAACTGTGTCCCTCTAAATTCGTATGTCAAAGACTTATGCCTAATACATCAGAATGTGACTGTTTTTAGACGGCATCTTTGCAGATGTCAAGGCTGAGGCATAAGAAGGGGGGAGTGTGGGATAAACATACAAGCCGTGGCAGGACTTCGTGAATGTAAATTGGGCAGACATCTGGTGCCAGACAATTCTGTATTCTGTCAATTATGTTTTAAATAAACGCTGATTGGCCAGTAGCCAGGCAGGAAGTATAGGCGGGACAACCAGACAGGAAGTAGAAGTGGGGCAAGGAGAACAGGAGAATTCTGGGAAGGAGGAAGCACATTCCTCCCTAGTCCTGTCCAGACACTGAAGAAGCAGAATGTGACCTGCCCTGCGGAAAAAGGTACTGAGCCATGTGGCTAACATAGATAAGAATAATGGGTTAATATAATATAAGTTATAATTAATAAGAAGCCTGAGCTAATGGGCCAATCACTTTATAACTTTTGGAGACCTCTGTGTGATTTCTTTGGGACTTGTCGGCTGTGGGAACTGGGCAGGACAGAAACCCCAACAAGCAGGCCCCTCACGTTACAGACATCAAGCCCAGGTGGAAGCAGCCTTCCCAGCCTCCTGGCAGATTCCAGCATCCAGGTCTGTGAGGGATAGGGTCTGCCCTGGAAGCTGAAGCTTATGGTGCTTGTCTGTGGCCAGAGGAGCTCTGAGGCAAAGGAGAAACATAGAAGTGTCTTGTAGGGAGCAAGGGGGTGTGTGCAGGGCAGCGGGGGGGGGGGACGGGGGCGGGTCTTGGTCTCTCTGTAGAGGCTAAGGAAGATGCTTTAGTGGAGCACTTGCAGCCAGTTCTGCACTTCTGAGGATGACTGTGTCTGCTGTGAAGGTTGGGCTGGGCCAGCAGGCGTGGCACGTGGAATCCTGTGAGTAGTAATGAGTTCACCTTTCCTGTTCCTTCCTCCTAAATACAACCTAAGCACCCCATAAATAATAGTCAATGAGGAAAGGACTTGAGAGGTGAAAATAAGATACATTGGCTCAGAACTAGAGCTGTGTCCCTGGGTTTCCTTATTCTCTACCACACACAGTGGCCAACAGATAAAGGTAAGTCTTCTGGAAAACTCATTCTTTCTCTGGCCAGTGACAGGAGAGACCTAGAACAATACCCAGGAGAGACCTAGAAGAGTGCTCCAGTATCATTCCACAGTCTATCCCCCGTGACAATGTCAGAGCACCTGCAGGCTCACCTGACCCTGCTTGCACAAAGGGTGCTAGTAGGGACTGCAGAGCACTGTTGTGGAGCTGCCTGGCATCACAGAAACACAAAAACACATTCCACGTATCCTCAGCAGGGTGGACCCTGGAGATGCACCTATCAGCAGGAACTGAGTGGCCCCACCAGTGCCAGAGAACCAAACTGACCAGGAGAGCAAAGGAAGGACTCTGGAGACAAAGCCAACATTGGAACAAGAGGCCACAGAGTCAGGCCAGATTGTCCATGTCACATACATCCACACACTGGCATCAGCAGCTGCCTGCTAACGTAGGAGATTTAAATAGAACCAGGAGTCTCCAAACAGAATAGCCTAAATGTCCAGCATACATTTGAAAAAGACCGCTTATCATTCCAAGAACATTCACAACGTGAATGTAAAAAGGCTGCTCACTGAAATGGCTGCCAAAATGAGCCATCTGCCAAGGACTTGTCGACAGCCATGAAAATCGCTTTCAAGAAGTAATTACAAGAAGAAGTGATTACAAACTCGTTTAAATTTGAAAAAAAAAAGGATTAAGTTAGCAACAAAAAAGAAATTGTAAAGCGCTAAATGGAAATTACAGAGTTTGAGAAAACAACCAGAATAACACTGTCCATCATTAGAAGGACATAGTGGTAGACTGGAGAGGGAGTGCTAGAACTTTCTTGAATCTGAAAAACAAAGAAAATAGTACAACGTGTAAACCTAAGCCAAGTTTGGCAGTGCATGTTTGAAATTGCAGTGTTGGGGAGGCTGATGTGGAAGGATGGATGATTCTGTAGTAAGTTTCGGTCTAAAAATCAAATCTCTGAGCCTCAGAGGTTTGTGGGATAATTCTTATTTCATCAGCATCCCAGAACAATAAGGCACAGTTGTGGGGCTAAAACATTCAAAGCAGTAATGACTGAAGATGTCCCCAGATCAATGAAAGACAAAAAATATACAGATGCAAGAGGCTGAGTAAGCAAGCCGTCGTATGATAAATCTGCAGGAAATCCATACCAAGGTACATTATAATGTACTTTTATGTCTTTATTATCTGTTCTATCAGTGTGCGTGTGTATGACAGGCTTTCATTCTGTAGGCTAGGCTGACCTGGAACTCGAGATGTAGATCAGGCTGGCCTTGAACTCAGATGTCTGCCTGCCTCTACCCCCTGAGTGCTGGGATTTAAGGCGCACTAGTACACCTGCCCTTGTCTGTGTTTTTGAAGCAGGGTCTCACATTGTGGACTGCCCTTGAGTTTGAGCCAATCCTACTCCGTTTCCCAAGTACTAGGATTACGGACATGAACCATCACACCTGGCTTTAATTAGACATTTGGCAACGAAAAAAGAAAAAGAAAAAACTTACCTGTCAAAGAGAAGTGACTTGTTGCAGGTAGAGGAGAGGCAGTCTCAACCGGATCTGGCTGCTTCTCTAAAGCTACAGGAGCCAGAAGGAAGGGCACAGGATTCTTCAAGCTTGTAAAGAAAACTTAACTGTGAACTCTGTCAAGCAAAGTGTCATTCAGGAATGACAGAGGAATCAAGAGGTTCTCAGGAAAAACCAATAGAAGATGTTGCTAACAGAACTACCTGTAAGGGGTGTTTAAAGGAAGTACCCTAAGCACAGTGGAAGCAATCAGGAAAAAAACTAATTTCCAGACAGCTGGGGAGCACATTGGTGTGCCTGGTGCACTGGGAGGCCAGAGGAGGGCATTGGATCCTCTGAAACTGGGTGGTTGTGAGCCATGTAGGTGCTCATGTTTCCAGAGAACCCAGTTTCTCTGGAAGAACAGCCAGTACTATTAAGTACGGAGCCATCTCTCCAGCCTCTTATTACTTTCTAGGTGCAGAGAAGCCCTTTGCTTTCACAATGTGAAAGCTTAGCCGGATGGGGTCGTCCCCTGAGTGCATCCTTCCCTTTGTTCTTGTGCAGTTCAGTCCTCTGACAATGCCTTGTCTGTAACAGTAAGCTTCATAATGGTCTTTTCCCATCCCAAACCATGCATTATGTATTTCTACCCCACTCAGCTTTATTGCAGACCTGCATAAATGTTACTACTAATAAAGACACCACAGAGTCAATGTTGTGTTCTCTTGAAATATCCTCTGCCAAAGAAATTAGTTCATTTAAAATTTATCGTTGAACTGGGCCTTTGCAGTCTGCTTGACTCTCAGCACTGTTATCTTCCAGGTTCCTACGATATCTGCCCAAACAGTGCCACTAACTGGGGACCAAGTATTCTAGTATCAGAGCCTATGGACACATTTTCCCCCATTTAAATCACTGCAAGAGGCAAATGTGTGTACACCTACTTGAAAATGTCCATACACAGACTGTTTTCATTGCTGTGACCAAATGCTTAAGGGGAAAGGGATCTATTTTGGCTCAAGGTTTCAGAGGTTTGGTCTTTATGTGTTTGGTCCATAGACTTAGAATGACCACTATGGCAGCAATGATACATGATAGAGGAAATTGCTCACCTTTTGTTGATCAGAAAGCAGAGGCAGGAGAAAGAAGGAAGGGTCCAAGGACTTGTGCCCCTAGTGATCTCCCATCTTAGTCCCACAACCTTGTTTGCAAAACCTCCCCAAATAGTACCACCACCTGGGGACCAAATTTTCAAACGGGAGGTTGTGGGAAACATTGCATGTCTAAACC